TCCCATTCACATGTGCAGAACAATCTTGTTATTTCTTAGACTAGTACTTGCCCAAAGCACATCATCACAAAAATTAAATACACCACTGAAGCTGTGTTTTGAAATGAAAATAATTATTTTCATGAGAAACCCAGTCCTTTTTGCCTGTGATCTGCAGTAGTCTGTGTATCTGAGCCCATAATTTCATTTAGCTAATGATTCAAAGTGTAGAAATGTTCTTTAAACCTATGAAATTCCATGAGAGATGTTGGCAAGCAGAAAGTTTTGACAACTGAAACACTTTAATCAGAAAAATGTATGAGGCACTCTTACTTACATGCATTTTTTTTTTTTTTTGGTACAAGGGCTGAACTCATGACCTTTTGCTTGCCAGGCAGGTACCTGTGCCACTGAACTAAATCCCTTTCCCCTATATACATCTTTTTTATAGTACATAAGTAGCAGAAAGACCCAGTCTTGCTCTGTGTCCTAGCTATCTTAGTCCAAATGATATACTTCTATACTTTTAAGGATGACATTATTATTCTCACAGGTGAAGAAACTGAGCTTATAGCTCATGTACTAGTTGTAAAATTTCCCAGAATGAGTCAGATGTGCAGAAAATGTAAATTTCTCCTTAACTGAAATTTCTCATAAGCTTGTATTTTTGTTGATGGCAGAAACTACTGAATATTTTCAATGATCAGTAGTTGAGTTACTTCTAGTTAAAAACATAATGTCTTCTATATAATCACTGAATAAATTTTAGAATTCCCCTCCCTGTATTTCTGCTATCTGTTGAGTCCTGTTCTGTAGACTTACTGGTCTTTTCTGGCTTCCCTAAGGTGACCCCTTGGTTAAGTCTTCAGGTATAGTATACTCCCTTTGCATCAGTTACTGAAATGTCCCCGGCTGGTTGTATCACCCACCTCTTTTGCAGCCAAAGACCTGCATTGCTGTCCATGCGTTTTGGTACCACCTCAGCTCTCACTGAAGCTGTTGGAGCCTCCAGCATCCTAACAGTCAACCACACCTTCCGTCTACTTCTCCTTCTTTGGGATCTCCCACCTGTAGCCTTGCAGTGAGGTCCCTCCTCCCTCATATCTAGAAAAGCTTACCAACTCACGATTAGTAAGAGTTATTGAAGCATTTTATGCAGGTTTGTGCCTATACCAGAAATAGTGGGTATTCAAACAATTCAGTTCTAAGACACACTACAAGGTAAATTTCATTTTTCCAGTGAAATTGCTTTTTGTTTAAATGTGGCTTGCCACTTAGGTTAGTGTTACCATACTCTAGACGCTTGACCTAGAAGATTGGAGAAATAAAGTAAAATACTGTTATTTTGACAAGAATTGGTTGCTGTGAATAGTCCTGGGCTTTAAATGTAGGGGAGCAATGTGCAGTAGTTATTAGCCAAGTTTTTTAATCTGTTATCTTAGTCACTTCCATTGTTGCTGAGACACAATACCTGACACCTGAAACTTCAAAGAAGATAGATTTATTTTGGCCTAGCTTTATAAATTTCATGCCATGGTCAGCAGGCTCCAAGACAGAAAAACATGGTGGAAAGACCTGGCTGGAGAAAAGGTGCTCCTCTCATAGCAGCCAGGAAGCAGAAGAAAAAAAGAGGGGTCCAGAGAGGGAGCAGCTATACCCTTCCAGGTTCTACCCCCAAGAAACTGCTGACCAGGCCCCAGCTCTATCAGCACAATCACCGATGAATTCATCAGCGTATCCAGTTAGCCAACTGATAATAATCCAATTGCATTATAGTCCAATCCCCTACAAACACATGTGACTTTGTGGGAACATTTCAGTTCTAAACCATAGAAACTACAGATTTAAGTGCAGCTGCAGCATAAAGATGGTATTGTAAGGAAGCAAGCATTCAGTGTTGCTCTACTCTTTTAAATGTCGGTGTCCCCCTGCCTTTTTTTTTTAAACAAAGAGACATGCATTAACACTTTTTCATAATTTATAGTCATCCTGAGCTATTTGATTCTTCTTCAGTATTTATTTTCAATATTCTTCAGGAATATTCAATATTGAATATCCAATATTCTTCTGGAAGTGTATTTCCATATTTCCAAATTTATATTCCACATAAATTTGGACTTACCTGTTGTTTTGCATGAATTTTAAGATGTGTCCTTCCACGTATATGGAGGAAATTCCATGAGACAATGCAATGGTGTATTTATAGAACTTTATTTTAATCTTTGAGACCATTTATAAGGTCTATTTGCATGACTTCTTTCGTGCATAGTCCCTTAAATACTAATGAAAAGCTTTGAGAAATTGTATACTGTTTAACTGAAATTAAGAAAGGGTGTGGACTATAATTTTTTTAACTATTCATCATTATTTTAGGACCTATTTCTTTAAAGCTTTGGAATTTGATTATCCCCAACGCACACGAATCACCCTATAACCTTATTCAGCATGGGCATTGAATATTTCATTTTTGAAGTCACTGAGTACGAGGAAGACAAATAGCAGTATTCACAGTGCCATGTGTCAACAGGCCTTTCTGGAACATTATGGTGATGTCTTTCCTCCCTAAATAACTTTTACAAATATACTGATGAAGACAGATTTCTGTTATCTGTCTTGAATGGGTCATAAGTTGAACTAGCTCTGTACTTTTTCCTGAAACAATGCACAGTTGTGACATGGTGTTTAATAATCTTAAGCCTACTGCTGCCAAAATAAACACAACTGTAAGAAATGATGACCTTCTCATCTTGTAACAATAAAATTATCCCTAATATGCTTCCCTCACTCTGAACATTATTATTCTGTGGATTTCTGAGTCCCATCTTCTCCTGAGGAAGCCCCGTGAAGAATACAGATTTGGACCAAATGACAGCATAGAGGGTGGCATTAGTTATATTAAATTAGAATGTGACCAAAAATCCTTTCTGAATTTTTCTTACAGTACAACATTAAGCCACACGTATTAGCCAATGTGGACCAAGGAAGAGTGTTAATATTTTGAAAAGAAGTTTTATGGGTGGATAGCATATGGCCTGTGACAGTTTCCAACGTGTGGATCTGACTCTCCAGTCATACATGGATTCTTTTCTTATTTAATCTGTGCATATAAAATCAACTATTACAGTGTTTTCTTGATTCTTTTTAAATTTCCCAAAAAGCAAGTCTTTACTGCTAATGACTGTATTCAGAAAAATGGTTAAAAAAAGTATGAAGAATAAGATTTTAATTTTATGCTATATTTCTTATTTGTACATATTCAAACAGCAGCATATATTTTACAAATTACTATTGATACATTGTGTTTTGAAAGAGCAAAATCTGACTTCTGTCACATTCTTCCTGAATTTGTCTTATTTTGTTCCCTGAACAAATTTATTTTGTCTTAATTTATTCCCTGAAAGATCTGTTATTGTTTTTTTAAAGTTTAATTCTATGATGAGTTGTGGGTAAATAAAAGCTTCTGATAGTTAATCCAGCTACATAAAAGTCCATACTGAAATGATCATAATCTTGATCTTAGATTAGATCTGATTAGATCTGAGCTAGTAATATCTTGTGATTAATCAAAATGGTTTGCATGTAGTATAAGTCATCTCGCAGACTAGAGAATCAGAGTTCTTTTGAATATTTGTTTTAATCCCTTCTAGGATAAAAATGGCTTTTGTTTGTTTGTTTTGGTTTTTACATTATGTCAGATTTCGTGTACGAAATAAGTGACTAGGAAAAGTTTTTGAAATACAGGATTTTTAGAATAACAGATCAAGAAACAAGAAATTTGTCTTGTAATTCATATTTTAAGAGCTGCTTTATTAAAAATGCCATTTTAAGGAAAATTTAATAATTAATCCTATTCATTTATAATTTCAACTAAAAGCATCATAAAAGAATATAGCAAAATAACTCATGGAAATAGGTTTGAGGTTTTCATTGTTCTCAAGAGTATAAAATACTCTGCAGGATTTATTAATTGTCCCTCTTCTGATTATGCAATTCCAGTCTAATTGACATCTTACAATGAAGAGCTGTACTTTGGCAACTACCATCAGGCATCTAAAACACAGATCACAGCAAGAGGTCTCAGATTCACACGGGTGCCGTGTTTACTGCATGTGTCTGTCATTCATTTCTGGCCAAGAGCTGCTTTGATTTAATCTCTTTTTTTAGTTTTTGCAAAGTTCATAGGTAGAATGCCTGAATCCCTGGGGATTCAGTGTGAAGCTGTGTTGCTCCAGGATTTGCATCCTGGTGCTCCCCATGTCCCTGTGCAGTTACATGATTTTAGGCAGATTTGTTGACCTAATCCTAAGCTCTCTTCTCTACAAATATGAGTTATTGCACTAAATCTCCAAAGGTGCCATGTGATTCTAAGATCTTCGCTAAATACAATCAGTAAAAAAGTACCCAACAAATAGAACTACTTTCATTTCAGATATGAAAGGTACTTAAATGACTTCAAAATTTCAAACCCCGTAATGCATCATCTTCAAAAGCCTTGATGTATAATATAGTTGCAGATTTCCTCAAAAAGTTGTTTGTGTCTCTGTGACTAAATTTATCAGGCATCATTTATCAGATGAATTGTGAGAAACTAAGAAAATCAGCCATCTGACCTTTGATTTTTATCAGCATTATACCAAATTAGCAGTTGTATAAAAATTATTCAAACAATTGTTTTAGTTTCCTAGAAATCCCTTTAGTCACAGACTTTCTGGTTCTGCAGATGACTACTTATGATGACAAGACAATGATAATGAAAAAAAAAACACGTTGCTACTTAACTATCAATCAGTCATTCAAGCTTTTAGAGACAGACTTTCTCAAAACTTACTCAGCAAAAATTGTGAATTAAACTGCCTACCCCAGGAAAACCTCCATAAATACATGACCATATAAGAATCATTAAACAAGAGAAGTAAAAGAAGCTAGGCCACTCATGCAATCTATTTCTAGAGTGAACAAATGTTAATATTAAAATAATAATTTAATTTCTCCTTTTCATTCATCTTTTTTTTTATTTACAGGCGTCCTGGTGAACCTCCATTGATAAAAGGCTGGCTTCCTTACTTTGGAATGACCATGAAGTTCCAAAAAGATCCTTTGGGTTTGATAAGAACTCTGCAAAAACAGTATGGTGACATATTCACTATTCTTCTTGGGGGTAAGAAACACTGCTATGAGTAACTTACATACATATGTCACAATTTCTCACTTATTCTGAATGCCTTTATATTTTTCTGCAGATAAAACTTGATATATTAGTGTAACATTGCCTTATTTGTAGAGCCTATACAAAAGCATACCATGTTCTTGAGTACAGTGATTATCATATTTTAAAACAAATTTCAGGATACTTTTTGTCATAACTAAAAAACCCCAATCTCATTCAGTCAACAGAATGTATTTTTAGTAAGTCTTCATTTTTTAAAGCAGATTTCAGTTTACAGAAAATTTAGCAGATAGCGTACAGAATTCCCATAAACACCTTCTCTTCCCTGATCACAGTTTCCCCAATTATTAACACTGCATCATGGTGATACATCTATTATAACTGACAAGCCAATAATAATACATTATTCTTTGTTGATGAGTTTTTAATTACATCTTCAATTTCATTCACTGATATTGGTTTATTTAGAATTTTTATGTTTTCTTAATTCAGTTTTGATAATTCATGTTTCTGGGAATCTGTCCATTTCTTCTCTGTATTCCATCTTACTAGAATACCAGTTTTCAAAGTAGGTATAGATGATCTTCTGGGTTTCTGCAGGATTTGTTTTGATTTCACCCTTTTCATTCCTAATTGCATGGATTTGAGTCTTTCCTTTTCTTGATAAGTTTGGAAAATGGTTTGTCAATTTTATTTAATTTTCCAATGAACCAACTCTTTGATTCATCAATTCTTTATATTTTCTTAGTCTCAACTGCATTAATTTTTGCTCTCATCTTTTTAATTTCTTCCCTTGTATGTACTCTGGACTTGACTTGCTCTTCTTTTTCTTGATGGTTGAGGTTTACAATTAGTTTGTGTATTGTAGCTCACTCTGTTCTTTTGAAATGAGAATTTACTATTAATTTCCTTTGTGGTACTGCTTCATTGAATGCTGTAAGTTCTGGTATATTGTATTGACATTATTAGTTAATGGTAGAAACTAATTTCTAGTTTCATTTTTTTATTGATTTCCAATTTCATTGCACTGATAATATTCATGGGATAATTTCAATTCTTTTGAATTTACTTAGGCATGTTCTATGAGCTAGCTTGTAGTATTTAGAAAATATTCTGTGTGCTGTTGAGAAGAATGTGCATTTCCCTGTAGCGTGGAACACTCTGTAGACATCTGCTAAGTCCACTTGTTCAAGTTTGGTTCAGTTTTTGATATTTCTTTGTTGATCTGTCTGTTTGATCTTCTATTTGTGACAGTAGGGTATTGGTGTCCCCCATTACAATTGTATTCTTTAATATTTGTTTTATATAATGGCATTCACTGGTATTTGCTGCATATATAGTCATGATTATTATCTCTTCCTCTTGAATTTCCCCCTTTACAAGGATGTAGTGACCTTCTTTATCTCTGTTGATCAGTCTTGGCTTAAAATCTACTCTGTCTGCAAATAGAATTGCTACTCCTGCTATTTCCTGGTTTCCTGTCCCATGAAGTATTGTTTGCAGTATACGTCAATCTGGGTTGGAGGTTGTTTTCTTTTAGAGCTTTAAATATTTCACTCATAATTCTCCTTGACTTGTGGGTTTGTATTGAAAAGTCTGCTGTGATTCTAATGGACTTTTCTTTATAGATGATTTGTTTCTTTTCTCTAACAGCCTTTAACTTTCTGTTCTTGTGTTGAATTTCTGGAATCTTGACTGTTATATTCATTGTTGTAGATTTTTTATCACAGCTAGTTGCAGTTCTACATACCTTAATTATCTGTATTTTAAATTCTTTTTTCCATGTTTAGGAAATATTCTGCCACTACTTCTGTAAGCAGGTTTTTCTTGTCATTGGTGCTACCTCCTGCTTTTTCTTTGACTCCAATCTTATGTTGTTCTTCTTTGCATCACCTAACAGCTGTTGGATCTATTTTTCAAAGTGCCTTGTTATTCTTAAGAAATCTTTCTTTGGATGATCATTAGCTGCAATGCTGTTTTCCATATCAGATATTCTGTCCTCACACTGCCTCATTCTGCTGCATATATTTTTCAATAGACTTTTTAGTCTCCTGGATATCTGTTTGAATCTGTTTCATGGATTCTATTTCTATTTTATGTTGAGCACTTATGGTTTCCATCATTTTCACAAGCTTCTCTACTTTTTCATCTGTATCTGCTTTAGAGTCACTAATCAAGTCTTGCATTGTGGTTACCATCTCTGTAGTTTTCTGAGAAGTTATTTCTGATTTGATTTTTTTCTGAAGCCTCATTCAACTGCTTTGTTAACTTCTGCTGTTACTATTTCATAGAATCCAGGTAATGGCTTTTAAATTGTTCCACCTCACTGTCATCTGGCTTTGTTTTAGGTGAACTGCAGGTTTGGAGTTACATCTTGCTTAAGTGTCTTCTTATTTCCTATTTCTTTAAGTTAAATTTCTGCATTGATGCTTTCAAATTGCTTATGCCAAGTAGCTTTATTGCTAATATTTAGAACTCTTAGGAAATGATTACTTCTCAGAGACATCTTCTAGGTGTAGCTGGCTTTTGGGTTTTGAGCCTCTTTACAAAATCCTACACCTTCAATTTATTAGGGATATGAAGTTTCTGCCTCTTTGATGTGGCCCCTGGTTTATTGGTACTGGCCTATAGTATTGTTTACAATCCTTAGGCAGTCTCAGTCTTGGCATACTAGGAAGAACAACTGATTAGAACAATTGAATCACTTAGTATAATCAACAGTAACAATAGAATCAAAAACAGCCTACAAAATGACAAACTGGGGTAACAATTTGACACTTTTAATAGTATAAAATATATTTGTGGTTAGACAGCAAAATCTAAATCAAGCCATAAAATTGTATATAGTACATATGCCCTCAATATGGTAATTTTACCCCCAGGGAAAAAATTTAAAAGGAACTAGGGGGGAAATAGACAAACACAAGAAGCAGAAGAGATTACACTAAGACTGGAAGACAAAGGAAGATCACACAAACTTTGGGAAACTAGTGAAGAAGACTCAGAGTAAAAAGAGAAGGAAGAAATATAAATAGAAACAGGGTATAACAACAATAAAAATACTAGAAACTGTTCATACTCATATAAAAACAAGAATAAACAATCAAGAAAAAGAAAACAAAAAGAAAAAATGGAAATAAGAAAAAATGTCCATTTCAAGGTGCATCTTTCTATCACTAGTAGACGAATTGGACTGATAGAGGCCAGGATGAGAGGATAGCAGATAATCTCAGCAAGACTGAGCCTTTAGTTCCACTAGCATTTAGGCTAGTTTCTGGCTATGAGGCTGGAGCATGGTTTTGTTCAGGCTGAGACACTCTTTGTGCCTTCTCCTCGCTTGAACTTGGCTCCTTGACCTCCTGCTAGTTTGACCTGGTTCTATACCTTCCTCTCATATGTTATTAAAGTCAATTTTGTATTGAAGTCTACTTTTTCTGATTTTTTTTTTGATTTTCACAAATGCATGACATCATGTGTCCACCATTACAGCAATATACACAACGGTTTCCCTGCCCTAAAGTCTCTGTGTTCCACATACTCAGTCTTGTTTTGCTACCTCTGAGTTCCTAGAAAACAATGGCCTGGAATGTACTTCTTCTTCTGAAAATGTTCACTGTATTTCATAATTCCATAAAAAATATTTACTAAAACAAACAGCATGATTACATCATAGATTAGGAAAGCCAGAAATGTTCTTAACCCCTTTTGAGACCCAGCTCTCTAGCTGTTAGTTATCTATTGCTGCATGACAAATCTCTCCTAAATTTAATGGTTTACAGTAACAACTCTTCTTTCTTGTATATTCCTATGATTACTGGCATAATCACTTGTGTCATCTACCTGCTGGCTTGGGCTACAGGCTCCAAGGTGTCCTCATCATGCTGGTCAGTCTTCCATGTCCACATGCTTTTCATCCTCCAAGAAACTTTCTTACTTACCTGGCATTTAGGATCTCAAGAAAACAGGAGGGAAAGAAGCAAACTTTCTTGTATATTTGGCTGTGAGTTGTAAAACCTCACTTCCACTACATTCTGTTAGTGCAAGTCACAGTGCAGCTCAAAGGCAAAGAAAGGTTAGAAAAATTGCCTAGGCCTCTTCCTGGACAAGGGCAAGTCATAATATATAGAAGCTCGTATAGAAAGACAAAGGCAGTGATCCTGGCCATTTTTGGACATAATTCTCACACCAATTTATCACTGGGACTAGTGACTCCCTTTTGTTAATTTTAATTTTTGTCTATATCCTAAGGGCTAAGCTCCACAGACAAAATTACACACATTCATTTGTTCTCTGATTTCTGGTTGGTTATTACCAGTGAGAAGGCAGGCAGAAGACCTATTCGTCCTCCAACTCTTACTTACTCTGATGAAACTGTTTACTCTTTCCTTCATTAGACAACTGATAACATAACTGATAATAGGTATATTCTCCCTCATAATCCCTTGTATCTACTATATGTACTTACATTTTGTAACTATCCTTACTATTTTTTCACAAACGTTTAAACCCCATTTACCTATCCCTCTTTATTCCTGCCTCTTCTGGGCATCCGAATTTAAGTTCTTCACATTTTATAGGTGCTGCTAGTCTTTTTCCCCCTGGGCTCTGTGACCAAGCTTATGTTTCTCTCATAGTTTCTAACTACTCTTCATTTTTCTTTTCTTTAGCTTTCTCTTTTGCATCTAGATGATTTGCCTGTGTTTACTGTCCCTAGTTACCCTTTCTAGAGCTCTAATAATAACCAGACTTTGACCTTGCTGAGATCATCTGCAGTTCTGCCTAAACAGATTTGTGTACCTGGTTTGACATTGCGGATCTGTTGTTTCTTTCTGAAATATCCTACTTTCTTGACACTGACCCTTCTGGTTCCTTAATCAACAGAGTGGTGCATATCTAGAACATTATGGATGAGTCTTTTTTAGTTCAGCCCTCCTAGCTTCTTCCAAATAGATTGAGAATCTTATGTTCTATGGTTAAAGAGGCAATCATGG